TCTATGAGTGAAGTTTAAACTGAGAAGGTCAATGACAAGTGGTGAACTAGAGTAGAGAATGCAATGGCAGACGTGTTCTAGGGACGATCAATCTGGTTACAGATCCTAAATAGACTACAAGAGAGACACAGAGACAGAGAGAGAGAGATTGAGACAGAGAAGGAGGGGAGGAAGGAGAAACAGAGAGAAAGACTGAAAAAGAGTGAGAGAGAAGGAAAGAAAGAAGCAGAGAGAGATTGAGGGAGAGAACAGAAAGAGAATAAAAGAGAGCAAAAGAAAGAGAAGGAGGGAGACAGGGGGAGAGAGAGAAAAGTTGAGGAAGAGAGTGAGTCAGGGTTGGGCAGGAAACAGGGAAACCAGTGAGCCCAATACTGCAGTTATTCAACATCTCTTTCTTCGGTGAAAGACAGAGATCTCAAGCAGGTGTCCAATAAATCAAATATAACCCACAGACGTGTTTCTCTGCTTCATCATTATTTAATAAGGAGAATTCACAGGAAAATCCAGATTTCTAGATTCTCTTTAAAAACTAGAAGATTTAGGCTGATTGTGGTGGCTCATGCCTATAATCCCAGAATTTTAGGAGGCCAAGGTGGGAGGATCACTTGAGGCCAGCGTTTGAGGCCAGCCTGAGCAGTATAGCAAGAACCTGTCTCTACAAAACAAAAAATGTTAAAAAGGCAGGTATGGTAGCATGCACCTGTAGTCCCAGCTACCAGGAGTCTGAGGTCCTGTTTCAACAACAACAAAATCAGAAAATGTAGTCACCCTGGACTCCACATTCCCCTTGGCAACAGTTGTCTAATCTGAGTAGAGCTATTTCTTTTGGACAGCACATTCACTCTCCAGTTTGCCGCATTCCTCACTGTTCCCTGTTACTCCTAAACATTGAAGTCAAGTTACCAGTTATCATCACTCTTGTACTATCTCTTTTCTTGACTAGAAGTCTCCTTCTCATAACTAAACCTCTATCATAAGAGGCGAAATCATACACAGACCAAGAGGGACACATATTTCAAGGCAAATGGAAACAAATACCTTTTGGGTAGAAGTGAAGACTATCCCATGTCTTCAGTATTCCAACACCGGGCCTGATTCACTGTGTACCTACTATAGGTTGGGCCCCCAGGTTTATATCCTTCCTGGGACTCGGACCTCCCTGCCAAGCCTTGCTCTGGTTTGCCCTCCTCTCATTCCATCTTCCAAACCAGGACTGACTAGGCCTGCCCCCAAGGTTGGGTCCGACGCCCTGAACCTTTTCCTAACTTGCTCTGGCTCCAGTAATCATCCTAGTCTTTGGACGCTGCTCACTAATTAGGCAGTCACATAAACTCATTCTAAATAAGGTATGAAGGGCTGAGGATGGCTTCATACACTGTACCTCTCAGGCTACAACTTAATAGGAGCCTGCTGTGCTTTCACCTAACAGCTATAAGTAGGTTTCCTGAAGCCTCAAATTCCTAACGAGTTCCTCTCAGGCGCCACCCTGGGGAAGTCAGTCTTGAGGAATGAGATGGAGGGAAAGCCAGATAACCAGGAGAGCAGCTGCAGTTTTCCCTGCCCCGTATAATGAAGTTCTGTGTAAGAGCCCACTTGGAGGTGGGGGTGGGGTGGAATGGTTCCACTACCTAAGAAGATAATAATAACAATAAATAGTTAAGTTTGAAACGCAATGCTGTAGCAGTTACAGTTTTGTTGCAAGGAAGAGAAACCAGCTCCAGCTAACGGAGTTTATTGGGAAGATAATGTCTGGAAGAGAGAGGTACTCACGGATGCTATGGGGAGCCCAGGTGGTCAGGCTTGACAGCAGGCAGGCACCAAGAAGCAGGCAGCAGGACGTCAAGTAGGATGTAAACCAACCACCCTGTAGTCAAACGGTTCCGACGCCATCCTGTAGCCACTGCAGTTGCCGTAGCTGAAAAGAATGGCTTCCCACGGCGACCCTCTCCTTACGTGATTCACTCAGAATTCAAAGCCCTAGGGAAACACATTCCATTAACCCAGGACTTCTCCACTATGGGACTGCTGACATTTGGTGCTGAATCTTTCTTTTTTGCAGGTCCCTTCCTGTGCATTGCAGAACGTTTAGCAGCATCCCTGACCTCCACCTGTCAGATGCCTGCAGCACCCCCCACCAATTCTAACAACCAAACGTTGTCTCAGACATTGCCAAATGTCTCCTGGGGACACAACTGCCCCCAGTTGAGAACCACCAAGTGAGCCCAACATCCTGGCTATTTTGGAGCAGGAGGGCAGGGTCTATGAGCTCTGCTTTCATATCAGAAGGCAGATGCCTAGAATCGTCCTCCACACCCAATACAAAAAAGGCATACAATACTTACACCCAATACAATAAAGATTTAATTCTCCACTGAATTACATCAAGAGCCATCAAGTTTAACAACAATGAAAAGGTAAAAATCCACAAATGAGAAGAACCACCACTTTAGGCTGTAAGCAGAGAAGGCTTTCTTTCCTACCCTGCAAACCGGTCAACAGTCCTTACAGATGGACAACAGGGATTTCCCGGGGGCTTTCACATTAGGGATCACCTGATCCGAATTGGCCCTTCCTAAGCCACCCATCAACTGAGTACTCCAAGTCAAGCTGAAAGAGAAGCAGCTGGTTTGAGAGACTTCTCGTCTGAATTCCCCGCGTAGGAGCTCTCATTACCAGATGGAATTTAGAGACCCTTTTAATCTGGGTGGTGTGGGGGTCACAGGGTAGCTCTTCATTGGCAAAGAGAGCAGATTTGTTCCTTCTGCACCCGAACTTCAGTCACGCTGAACCTGCACTGTGTGACTGTCATGGTCTCGGGATTACATGAATTTGCTGCAGCAAACCTGCCTCTGCCATCGTGTGGGTGTTAGTCCATTTTTCATGCTGCTATAACGAACTCCCTGAGACTGGGTAGCTTATAAACAAAAGATGTTTAATAGATGACTCACAGTTCCACATGGCTGGGGAGGCCTCAAGAAACTTACGGTCCTGGCGGAAGGTGAAGGAGAAGCAAGTATCTCCTTCTCAAGGAAGCAGAAAAAGAGAGTGCGCGTGAAGGAGGAACGCACAGACCCATCAGATCTTGTGAGAACTCGCTCCCTATCACGAGAACAGCACGGGGAAACTGCCCCCACGATCCAATCACCTCCCACCAGGTTTCTCCCTCGACACATGGGGATTACGGTTCGAGATGAGGTTTGGGTGGGGACACAGTGAAAGGAGTGAACCACAAACCTCACATCTTTGAAGCTCTTGAAACTTTCAAACTCAGCCCCAGCAGAACAAACGGCTTAAGATCATTCAAACAATGAGGAAAGAAAGAAGGTGGGAAAATGAATATAAAGACGAAAAACTAAATAAATAAATCTCTAAAGAACTTGAATGACCTCTAACTGTTATGTCTGAATTTTAAGTTTGCTTCCCACTTGCAATTCATTCTTAGTACACAATTACATCCTAAATAGATAATCCTCTGTAGAACAGTTCTTATGTAAACAGCCAGTAATTTTGATATATTAGAATTAAAAGAAATTTCCAAAGGCCAAATTCTGCCATGTTTTAAGAAATATGCCTTGGTTATTCCAGGAATAATTTTGCTTCAGGGACCCAATTAAAGTTATCAAAACTCTAGGTTCTTCTGGATGCTAAAAATGCAACATATTTTGCACATACCTCTACAGGTTATTATTTTTAGGGATTTTATTTTACAGATTAAAAAAAATTTTAACCAAGGGGAAGGGTTTTTAGAAGATCACATAATTCTAAACCACAAACAAAAAGCACAAAGCTCTGTAATCATGAAGGCTTGTAAAGAACAAGCAGGTTTGCTCACGGAGAGTTGAAATAGGTTTGCCTGTGAGATGAGGCAATTTTCAATGCTTTGAAGTTTAAGATGTGGTAAGCACAGTTCACACGATGCATAATCAAGAAGCAGTTGTTTCTGCCTCTGCAAAATTATGGGGTACCCCATATGGGCTAACATCTTGTGCGTTTGTATATATGGTAATTTCCCTGCAAGAAGCCTGACATTCCATGCTTTCTTCAGGAAGAAAGGGAAACAGTGCTGGGGACAGCTGATGACAGGCTTTCAAGTGTCTCAATCTTCATGCCTGCAATTGTTAAAAGTATGGGCCAACGATACCAGCCAAAGAAGAGAAGAGACAAATGGAAAAGGTATTATGTGGGAAATAGAACAGGTAAATAAAAATAGTTCTGTTTCCAAGACCTGCCAAAATATTTGTCATCTTGATAACAGGGTGAAGTCTCTGACAGATTTCACTTAGCCAGATATTTTACTTGCAAGCAACATTAGAGCAACTTGACCTTTATCATTTCATAACGAGCAAAGAATTTGCCTGTCACGCTGCAATTTCTGTTATATGGCTTCAAGGGGCAAAAGAGAGAGAGAGAGAGAAGAGAGAAAAAGCTCGTTTGTCGATTTTGCTGTTGAAATATCACCAAGTCAGCCCTATGTGACGTGGTCCAACTGAGGAGACCCCAGTGTGGCTACCAGAAGTCATACTCTGCGAAAATGAGGGTCCAAGGGGAACCCTCCTGGAGCTATGCTTACAGATGCTGAAATTCTCAGATTGTTTTTTCAAAAACAAGTTGAATTTTTTTTCTATAGTCTAATGCAGGGACCAGCAAATGTCTCCTGTGGAGAACCAGACCATAAATATTTTAGGCTGTGTAAACTCTACAGACTCTGTCACGACTACTCAACTCTGCCACTGTAGCTTAGAAACGTGCTGTAAATGGATGAGCATGGCTGTGTTCCGGGAACACTTGGTGTTACAGAAACAGGCACTGGGCTGGCCTTGGCCCGTGGGCCTTGCTGTGTGGACCTTACTTTAGTGGTTGAATGGACTCCATAGGCCATAGCCTCAGAGAAGCCACCCACTATCCAAGGCTTGGGGGAATTTTTCAATGTGACAGAGATCAAATTTTGCTTCAACCAGTCTGTAGTGAATTCCTGTAATTTTCTGTTGCCTTAAAATCCATTCTAAAGATAAGTTTAACTTTCTCATACCAGAGCAGGGCTTAGTCACCTTTGGCACAGTTCCCAGGCCTCTGCCTCCTCCCAGTTTCTTGATATGGTGGATTCAGATATCGGCCGTATACAACCGCCTCCTGGCCTCCCGGTTGGGAGATGGTCACTTCCCTGCAAGACAGCTGAGTATCATCTATCTGACTCACTCCCCGGTCCCCACATCCCCTATGGACAGCAGACACGCCACAGTGACCACCCGTTAGCCACCCCCTCAGAACTCGTGCCTGCATGGTCTAAACCCACCAATTAGAGCTCCATAGGAAACCTGTGTGGGCAACACCCTGGCCTTGATAAGGTCTCTGACCCTCAGATTCCTCTCCCTCTACCCCGCCTTCTCTCTCTCTTTCTTTCTTTCTGTGTGTGCATCTCTCTCTCTCTCTGTCTCTCCTGCTCTACCTCTCTCTGTCTCTCTTCTCGCTGTCTCTCTCACTGTCTGTCTCACTGTCTCTTGCTGTCTCTCTTTTGCTCTCTCTCACTGTCTCTCGCTATCTCCCTCTGTCTCTCATTAGCTGTCTCTGTCTCTGTCTCCCTCGCTCTCTTTTTGTCTCTCTGTCTCTCTTTCTGTCTCGTCCTCTGTCTCTGTCTCTCTCTGTCTCTATCTCTCTCTCTGTCTCTGTCTCACACTGTCTCTGTGTGTGTGTGTCTCTCCCCATCCCCTGGCTGAACTTCCTGCTGCCTCCACAGTTTCTGACAGTCTCCCAGAGGCATCTGTAACCTCCCAATCTGTAAGTGATGCGTCTCTTCCGTTTCATGCCATTTGGTTTCACCTTTTCATGATGCCTCACCTGACTGACACACCCAAACCTACCTGTCCCCTGGTCAGGGCACTCCTAGAAAGTGTCTATCTTGGTTTATGGCCACTCAATACCAAATTAGAAAGAAACCATAACAATAAAAATTACAACACAGGGGCCAGGCACGGTGGCTCAAGCCTGTAATCCCAGCACTTTGGGAGGCCAAGGCGGGTGGATCACGAGGTCAAGAGATCGAGACCATCCTGGTCAACACGGTGAAACCCCGTCTCTACTAAAAATACAAAAACATTAGCTGGGCATGGTGGCGCGTGCCTGTAATCCCAGCTACTGAGGAGGTTGAGGCAGGAGAATTGCCTGAACCCAGGAGGTGGAGGTTGCGGTGAGCCGAGATCGCGCCATTGCACTCCAGTCTGGGTAACAAGAGTGAAGCTCCAACTCAAAAAAAAAAAATTACAACATAGGAAAAAAAAAAGGCTATAATAACAGCAGAGCTTTTTTTTAACCTATAGATTATATCTTCGTTCCTCACACATTCTCAAATCCACTCTGAAAACAGTAACAGGTACTTATAGGCCAACATGGCAGAGTTGCCAGAAATGACCCAAAATGAGAGGATGGTAGCCCTCAGCATCTATCACCGCTTAGGCAGGTGTCACCACAGACAGAGGGAAGGTGTGGCTGCTTCTCTTCCACTTGCTCACTTTTCAATCCCAGGATATAACCCTGGCTTTTACTCCAGCCAGAGTGCCCCAAAACAGCATCAGCTCTCACAGCCCTGGATTCAACATCCCCCCAAGATCAGCTGAGTAGGAATCAAAACCCCAGTGTCTAGGCTGTTAATGCATTTTTCATGCATTTGAGGGGTTGGGATTTGTTTAAACCATCCCTCTTTTCCAAAACTAAATCTCTCTAAACATTCAATGCTGGACAGGCATGGTTTACACCTGTAATCTCAGCACTTTGGGAGGCAGAAGCAGATGCATCACTTGAAGTCAGGAGTTCAAGGCCAGCCTGGCCAACATGGCAAAATTCCATCCCTACTAAAAACACAAAAAAATAGCCAGGTGTAGTGGTACACACCTGTAGTCCCAGGGACTCAGAAGGCAGAGGCAGGAGGACCACTTGAATCCAGTTGGCGGAGGCTGCAGTGAGCCGAGATCATGCCACTGTACTCCAGCCTAGTGAACAGAGCTACACTTTGTCTCAAAAAAAAAAAAAATGCTGGCATTTGCTGTTACAAAAAGCCACCTTTCCCCCAACCCATGTTGACTAAAACATAATTGTTAGTTGCACATTTGTTTTTCAAAGGTCCGGGGTAATGCAAATCAATTTCTAGCATGATTCTTCCCAACACTGCTTTAAAGCAACGTGTGTGAATGCGTCATCTAATTAATAGCAATGTGTAAATTTTAAATGTTAAAATAATCCCAATTGTGAAATTGGCTCACAGGTGACCCCAGACCTCAGCCTTCCTGACCTTTATCCAACCTGATCTTTAAGCGGATAGCCACATACTTACACGCCTGACTTCAACTCTTTTGGGCTTTTTCATCTCCCTTCTGTGACCGTTGGTGGAAAAGCCCGGAGCCTCTAACTTTCTAGGTGGATGAGCTGTGGCCCTTGTTTAGGACTGTAGACTTGTCATTCAGCCTCTGAAAGCTCCGCATTCCATCCTCACAGCTAGCAGGGCCACGTTCCAAGGAGGGGCAATGAATAGAAAGGGCTTTGCTCCTGAAACCAGGTGAGCGAGGGTTTTTAAGAGGCTTTTCTAGCCATGGCAGAGCAATCTAAATAACAAGGGTCAGGATTAGCCCTTTATGGTATCGAGGTGGGAAAAAATCCGCAGAGGCAGTGAAATGAGAAAGGTAGACTAGCATTCATTCTCTTACAATAGATCTGTTTCCCATCTTGCTAAGCACACACAGCCATAATTATATTGCTTTCCACTGACTTGTATACACACTTCCTTGCTGCCATAAAAACACAAGCGCCTCCATAGATGAAAACTGATTTTAATATAGAAACCCTAGTATCTATAATTCATGCTCTTTAGCCTTTACATATTTATTCTGCATTTTAATTAAGGCCAAAATCTGAATACTTTAAATGGATAGTTTCTTTTCTCTTCTATGCATAGCTTATAGGTAAATTACCTGGCAGACGCCCAAATGTTAAGCTAACACAATAGAGCCTGGGACTGCAGTAAACTATTATTGGATGGCCAGCCCAGAAGGGCTGGGAAAGCTCTCTCCTTTCAAAGGTAACCATCTCAAGATTGGCAGGACTCGTCCTCCTGCAGTTGCAAAAGAATGAGAAGATAAAGCACCCAGGTTTGGGGATTACAGTACAGCCCACCTCCCCACAGGAAAGGCATCTCCTCTGGTGACATCTGAGAAGAGGGGAAAGGAAGGGCTGGGGAGAATGGAAAGGGGCTTGGAAAGACCCCTGAAGTGCCAGGAATCTATCGTCTGGGTCTAGGACAGTCGTTCCCAAAACAGACCCTGGAATGGTCTAGCTGACACAGAGAAGGCATCTAAGATTAGCAAAGCCAAAAGTTCACCGTTGGCCTTTGATAGGAATGACCAGATGTTTTGGTGAAATGTTTGATGCTTTGAAACCCTAGGAAGTGTCTCCATGAATAATAGATCAAGAACGGTGATCTTTAAAATGCAAGACTCCACCCAAGCCTTTCCCAAGTAGGTACCAATGTGGTCGCTTTTAATTGCTGAAGCAGGGTTTAGCGAACTACAGCCTACTGGCCAAAGCTGGACCAATGCATGTTTTTGTAAATAAAGATTTATTGGAACACAGCCATATTCACTTAACATATTACCTGTGGCTGTTTTCATACTAGGATAGCAAAGTTCAGTAGTTGTGATGCAGACCATTTGGCCTGAAAAGCCTAAAATATTTACTCTCTGGCCCTTTACAGACAAGGCTTGCCAGCCCCTGCTCTCAAGAGTTGGTTCTTCACATTCTGCCTTCCAGTTTCTTCCTTCAGGAAAAGAAGTGAAAATAAATCTGAGACATTTGGAACTCCCAAATTCTCTCCATTGTGCTGTTTCTTCTAGTCTTTACAAAAGCAGTGGAAAAAAAAAACTGTAAACATTTCTTGCCAATCATCTTCTCTGGAGGTAAAACAGCCCATTTTAATTTTCTAGGCATCATAACATTGTACCAGGTAACACTTCCAGTGTCTACCCCCCTGGGAGGACCTGGGAGCCAGATACTGGGCTGGTACTTTGTCTCCATTATCTTGTTTTAATATTCAGGCCACCTCAAGGTGGACTTTGCTAGAATATCAATTATTTGCTGTTGATAAGTGACAGGGGTAATTTTAACACTGAGTCTGTCTGATTTTAAATCTGATCTTCTTAACTTACCTTTGCTGCTGACAGACACTTACTCTGCCAAGCACTTTCCTCTTAACCCCTACAATGGACCCATCGTGAGATAAATGATACTGCCAAACCCATCTCACAGATCAGGAAACTGAGACTTGGAAACTAAAATGAATTCCTCAAGATGACCCAGCTCCTGTAAGGTAGTGCCGGGGAGTTGGCTGCAGAACCAACTGGTCTGCTTGACTGCTGGTGCCTGTGTCTCAAATACTTTATCTCTCTGGGGCTCAGATTTCTGGCAGTAAAATAAAATGTCTAACTTTCCTGGGCTCAACAGGCTAAGATGAATAGAGTACCCTTGAAAATATGACCCAAAAAAGCCGTGATTTGCTAAATAAATAATCTTTGTTTGCAAAGGAATAGGTTTCCCCTTCTCCTCACACGTCGGAAGCGGCTGCCCAGCGGACACTGTGGATGTCAAAATTCTGTCTCCCGGCATCATCGTGATGATCATTCCATTCAAGGCAGATGAGACATCCAAGGTGGACCGTGCAGGATCACACGCTTTCCTCCTACCTCTTACATGAACTTCCTTTCATAGCGTTGGGGGTTTTCTGACCTCCCTTTGAAAAGCACATTAAATATGTACATACCTAAACAAATAAATGAATATTGAGACAGCAGAAAGACCATGGAGATGACACTGCTGTATTAAAGCTATTAATTGATTCCTATGAAGGACTATTTTGGGGCACAAGGAGCTACCCAGCATCCATTCTGCTGTCTTGGGGGAAAGTACCCTGATTTCCTTTGCAGTAATCGCCTTCCCCGTGTGGAATCAGTTCTTTGGGACTGCGTTTCAAATGTGCCCTCCCTCATTTGGTCAAGAGTAGAACACACCTCCAGCCAGGCTTGTCAGAGCTGGTCTGGAAAACTCCAAAAGGAGGGTCTTTCCAGTTAGGACTCTGCAGAGACCCTGGTAGCAAGACCCTCTGCAGTGGCTGAGTTTCGGTACCAGCCAAGCCTGGCTTCCAACTTTCTCTCTGTCCTGTGAATTGTCTGGTCGCCTCCCAACAAATCATGGACTTTCATAAACTAACAAATGGGTTTCTGTTGCTTATAACCAACATGAATTTTTACAATGACAGAAGGACCATTCTGGAAAAAAAAAATTGTCCTTATTCAGTATCTGTCTCATTTGGGGGTCTTCTTTCCAACAATACTTTTAAATCAATTTTGCTTCCACTTTTACCTTTTAAAATAAATCTAGATAGCCATTTTTAAGCGCCAGATAGGGTAGAAGTTGGCTAAATACAAACAGAACTACAAAGCGAAATTAAAGAGCTATGCTTTATGAATACCTGTCTCAAAGGATAATATGTCTTGAGTACCCTTACTTATATTTTATCATTTAGCTCCTATCATGTTAGCTTCCCTCCCCAGCGGTGGTTAGCTCAAACTTTGAGAAGCTGAGATTCTTGAACTCAACAAGGTCTTGACCTCAGTCTGTTGTCCAAACAGGTGCAAATTTGCTGCAAAGCATCATTGTCTGCTCCATATGTTACTGTTCTGAGTTATTTCATTAAATGCACTTATAAACATGATCCACAATGTCTACAGAATTTCTTTAAGCTCTTTCTTTCAAAAACATTACGAGAAAGGAAATAGTTACTTGGCACATCTTGTGCCTAGGGAACCCTTGGGAAAGCAGAACCACTGCTTTCTTCCCAGTGTACCTATAAACTCATTGTATAAATATCCAGCCCACAATTTACAACCTGAAATCATGGCCCATAATATTTGGAATAAAATCTAAACTTCTGACCATGGCAAACGAAGCCATCTAGTAAATGACCACTGCTTAGATCTCCACTTCATCACAGAGCTCCCCTGCCCAATACGCTCCTCCCTGCTGCCAGCTCCCGCCCACCCCTCACACCGGCTGCACCCCTGCCACCTCAGGACCTTGCACGTCTCTTTCCTCTACCTGGATTGCTCCTCCCATCTCTAGGACTGGCTCCTGCTCCCTGTGCCATGCAGGGCTCAGCTGAAATGTCACCACTTTGAAAAGGCTTTCTCGGGCCACTTGGCACCAATATACCCCAGCCCCGTAGCCTGCTGTTTCACAACCGCCCTGCTCTGTTTTATTTTGCCGCACTCCCTGCTTTGCAAACTCCATTATTGATGCTTGGCTTCCTTGTCTGTTGCCTCAACCACCATGCGAGTTCCAGGAGAAGCGGGATTTGATATTTCCAGCGCTAAGAGCAGTGTGTGGAACAGCATGCTTGTGAAAGCAAGGGAGGAAAGAAGATAATAAGAAAAAAAGAAAGGGAGGAAAGCAGAGAGACAGAGAGGAAGGAAAGAGCTTTATGAAGCACTGCCATCCATTTGACGAGTATTCATTTCTGTAATCTATGTTTTCAAAAACCAGGACATCATCTGCCTCTCCCTAAATCTTCTGATTATAATAATAATAGTGATTCATCGAGGCAGGTCTAAGTTTTATGGAAGCATACACAATTTTAAAGACTCTCGGTCAAGCGCAGCGGCTCTTGCTTGTAATCCCAGCACTTTGGGAGGCCAAGGTAGGCAGATCACAAGGTCAGGAGTTTGAGACCAGCCTGTCCAATATGATGAAACCCCATTTCTACTAAAAAATACAAAAATTAGCTGGGCATGGTGGCACACACCTGTAGTTCCAGCTACTCTGAAGGCTGAAGCAGGAGAATTGCTTGAACACGGGAGGCAAAGGTTGCAGTGAGCCAAGATCGTGCCACTGCACTCTAGCCTGGGTGACAAAGTGAGACTCCATCTCAAACAAACAAAAAAAGACTCTCTGCTGGGCGTCATGGCTCATGCCTGTAATCCCACACTTTGGGAGCCAAGGCAGGCGGATCACCTGAGGTCGGGAGTTTGAGACCATCCTGACCAACATGGAAAAACCCCATCTCTACTAAAAATGCAAAAAAAAAAAAAAAAAATTTGCCAGGCATGGTGACACATGCCTGTAGTCCCAGCTATTCAGAAGGCTGAGGCAGGAGAATCGCTTGAACCTGGGAGGCAGAGGTTGCGGTGAGCCAAGATCATGCCATTGCACTCCAGCCTGGGCGACAAGAGCAAGACTCCATCTCAAAAAGAAAAAGAAAAAGAAATTTAAAAAATACAAAGACTCTCTTTAAGAAAAAGAATATAAAATTACCAACATAACACCAGATATGGAAGTGCATGTTTATATAAAATGAGAAAAGAAATCACAACACACGATAAGTGTCTAAGAAATTCACATCCCTTTCTTCCTGGATGTCTCTGGGCAATTTGCCAAAAATGCTCAAATAGAAATGCTTCCTGAAAGTTACCTGGCCTCTGCTACATACCTGGAACATTCTATGACTCCGAGAAAAACCCCAGAAGTCACAGGGGTCCAAGCATGTGAGGGTCCCAGAGGCTGATACATAACTTGCTTCCTTGCACATTGCCTCTGTGCCTCACAATTATAAAAAGTCATACATCAACTGGACTTTGTCTTCATTCATATTATCTCATTTCACCCTCACAATTGCCCAGTAATAAACCCCATTTCTTAAATGAGGATTTTCTAAAAATCCCCATTTCACAGACGGAGAAACTGCAGCAGTTTGACAATTCCCTGTCCTGATGAGGCTGCGGGGTGGAGAGGGGTCATAAGTACCATTTCCTGCTCATAAGGTGCAAATTGGTACAACTTTTCTGTGATGTATTTGGCAACCACTATCAAATTACCAATGCATTTACCTTTTGACTCAGAGTAAACACCATTGGAAACACCACCCCTAGGAATTTATTTATATATGTAAATGTTTATATACACACTCGCACAAGTGTAAAGAAAGGAATGCCCACGTTTACTCGGTGTTTATTCTAATTCAATGCAGTGCTGTTTCTAATGATACCAAGTTATAAACATTCTATGTGTCAACCAGCTGGGGCCTGGTCCAGTAAATCATGGTATAGCTATAAAACAGAGTATTAGAAAGCTGAAAAAAAAAGAATAAATATACGCTTTATATTCAAATAAAAAAGGAACTATAAGATAAATATTCAAAGTCAAAAGAGCAGGTACAGAATAATATGTATAGTTGGATGACTTGTATATTTAAAGAAGCAAAAGATCCATTTTTAAATTTAGATGAAGAAAAATATCACAGGAAGGATAAACAGGAAACCACTAACAATGGCTACAAGTTTTGGGTTTGGAGGCTTTGGGAATTAGGACGGGAAAAATATTTCCTGCTACTTATCTTTTCATCATTTCTTCATTTTATTTTTTTTTTTTGGTATACATGACTAGATGACCCTGTCAAAAATTAAAATTAAAAATTAAATGGGGAGAATAGAGATGAATTGTTCAACACCCTAATTCCTAAAGAACAACATCACTGGCTATGAGTCATCATTCGAGGATTGATGTATCAGAATATCTTAAAATTGTTTTCATCATGCCAAAATGTATTAAAACTAAGAAGGTGGATCCTGTCAGTTATGA